TTGTTGTTGTTGTTGTTGTTGTCGTCGTCGTGGTTGTGGTTGTTGTTGTTGTTGTTGTTGTTGTCGTCGTCGTCGTCGACGTTGTTGTTGCTGTTGGCGTTGGCGTTGGCGTTGGCGTTGGTGTTGGCGTTGGTGTTGGTGTTGGTGTTGGTATTGGTGTTGTTGTTGTTGTTGTTGTTGTTGTCGCTGTTGTTGTTGTTGTTGTTGTTGCTGTTACCTTCTGATGGGCTTTGGTTCGCAGAGCCGGCGGTGCTGAGATGTAGCCTTTGCAGCCACACATTAGATTTGCGCAACAACAAAGTGTCAGTTCCATTGCGAGGTGTTTGCGTTTTTATGTGTGCAAATACTTCCGCTGGAGTCGAGCTTTGGGGAAAGGCCTCATTTCAATTTGTGGCACGTCCGACAGCCGACGCTTGCGCAACCATGGCCGAGGATCCGAAAAAGGGCCCTGCAGTCAACGATCCGTAAAATAACACCGGTCTCACCGGCAGGTTTTCGGAGATTTTGACTGTTTCTGCGGACTTTGGGCTCGGGGGGCCTTTTCAGTGTACTGCGACTCCCACTGCGCTGCGGGAGCTCAGCGTCGGCAACCGAGAGAGTTGCAACAGCTGAAGCAGCTGAATCCCTATAAAGAACCAAGACGACTAAATCCTGAAAGTCTTACTTACATAGAGATGCCACTTGGAATCCCCACGCACATGAACTCAAACTCTGCAGCTGGCGGTCGAAACCGTAGGTAGTTCATTCAGGACACCAAGTCCAGTCAGCGCTAGGCAGCGGAACGGGTTTTCTTTGCAGACTTCCCTGCATGGGTATGGCAAAGTTGTAAGACGGACTCTTAGGTGATGAGGCCGCCTTTCGCCGTTGTCCTCTTTGGCCATCGCCCCAGAGCCATAGGTGTTTGCTTCAGAATGTAAGATTAATTTTGGAATCTTTCGAACCTTGGGCCTTTATGCCACATACTACTGGGTTGCTCTCTGTCTCTCTCTTTGCCTCGCTGCGTCGTTTCCCCCCGTCTTCGCAGATGGATGTGTATCATGTGTGCAAACAAGCAAACGTGCAAAAAACACATTCAGTTTGGCGGTCAGGCGAAAAGACAGAAACACACAGGCTGTGCTGCTGTGGCGCATGCGAGACCTCCGGGTAGGGTTGGCTAACTGTTGGTTGCACTCGGCTTAGAAGTTCGCAAAAACTGCAATTTTCGTTGGAGGAATCAGCCAAAGCCGTGCCATTACTTTGATGTCACTCGGCGCAGGGGGACGCCTCCTTACGCCTGCGTAGACTCACTCATTCTGGATTTCCGGTGAGAGGAGAGCTTGACGTCCTGCGGGAATGCGGGGGGCTAGTAGAATATCCACAGAATATCACGGTAAACACGCATGTTTTGGTGTATGGAGACCCCTTGAGCTGTATCAGCCCGTGTGACAACATAGGTCTGCTTCATGCTGCGGCAGCCAGCAAGCTGGAAGATGCTTTCCAAAGCGTGCTGACAGGATGCTCCGAGAGTATCCAGGGCCAATTGGACAGTGGTGCAGGGTTTCTTGATGGCATCCCGCTAAGGCTATCTAAAGCTGTTCACATTCTGCTAAACCATGTTCGTTCTGTCTGCCTGTGTTCTTAATCGCCGGGTCGAAAGGCAAAAGGAGTCACTGCAAACGGCCGTCTGCATAATCTGCTGTCGGACTTGCTGACTGCCAGAATCCAGTCACCGTATACACCGGAATACAACGATATGGCTACAACGATATGGCTACCTGTTTCGATCGAGTTAACCGAATACGTAGTTTGCTGACGGCAGTCATCGTTTCGGCTCAGCAACAGGAAGTGTTGCCAATTCGTTGGCAGGTGCGTTTGGGATCCATGTGAACATGCACGTGTCTGTGCAAAAGTTGCAGTCCTCTCCCCAATACCTCACCTGACCTCGTCGAGTGCAAGTGCTAAAAACAGTGTTTCCAACTAGCTGGAACTACTTTCGTACACCGGGCAACATGGTCAGCCGCAGCAGGACTTTCCAAGAAGTACGGCTTTGCAACGCAGTTGGCTTGGAAATCGGCCACGGAGGAGTCGGACCTGTGTAGTTTGAGGGCGTTTGTTTGAGGGGACATGTGCAGTAGACACATGCGAGCTGTCGGCTATAGCATGCTCGTCCAGCTTTTTGGAGATGGAAGGAGTAGTTCATCTTTGTACTTGTAGCCGAGCGAGATGGCCCCTCCTCCTCCTCATCCAAAGTGCATCTTACGGATTCTGTTGCTGCTCAGTTGGGTCATGATGTATGAGCATGTCCGGATTTGTTGTTTTTGGCTTCGTGGCATTTTCAGGACTTTACCGTCTCTGCCGGACGTGATCCAGTTACTGGCAGAGCTTGGAGCCTATGTTGCTAGTTGTGTCTCGCAGCCGAGATATGTTTTGCGATGTTGAGCTTCTGCTTCGCTGCAGCTTCAATCCAGCCCTTGGGCAAGCGATGCGACTAGCCGCCCCGACGCGAAACGCAGATGCAGGTCTTGACATTTCGCATCTGAGAACGTGCGGCGTGCTTCTGTCCTTGCTGAGGCAGTAACGGAGAATGACACTTTTGCGTTCGGCTCTGGTACCAAGCCGTACACGGCCTTTCGGTGTGCACTGGAGCAGCCCCGTCACCACGCGTCGAATCCAGGGCGTTGGGCTAGGAGCCTTTGATACTTTGGTCTCTCTCTCCGTCAGCAAAGTCCGACATTCAACGCGTCAGAGTTTGGAACCTGCTCCCCCTGTACTGCACCCTTCCCCCGTAGCGGTCCAAGGCAGTTCTCGTCCTGAAGCTGGTCGCAGAGGGCAAAGTCGAGCTCCTTGGACAGTCTTACTAGGAGGAAGCGCTATCGTCTATTGCCTACGGTGAAGCCTTCGGAAGTACAACATGATGTCGATGTGTCGATTTAGTTTGTTTCTTTGTCTGTGTGTCACCAGTTTTCTGCAAGTCGCTATTGCAGATCCTTGGAGTATGTGGAGGCTGGACAAGCCTGCAGCCACTTACGTGGACGGTGTCCTTCAGCGCTTGCGCCTCCAGCAGCAACTTCAGAGCAGCTGGTGTTCCACATCCGAACAGCTCTTGCCTCGCCGGCCCTGCCTTTCCCAAGCTCATGGCCAGGAACGGCACCTCCATGGTGGGACTGTTTGGGCAGCAAGCGTTACACGTCACTGTCGGTCATCTCCTGCGAACCTCGGCAAGTTGCCCTTGGGTTCGGGGTCCAGACTGATGGGCTCGTTCACTTTGCAGAAGATGGGTCTTAGGAGGCAGGGATCGAATCGGTTCCCACCTGATTCTACAATCACTCTGCTAAGATGATGGTAGATCGCACGTGGCGGGATCGCAGACACCTGTCATCGCTTTGGCATGCTTGTTGCATCCTTGGGTCCTTTCAGCAAGGGAAGGTCATTTCCCAGTTCAACCTTAGCCCGCACCCTATACCCCCCCCCCTACGCTTTTAC